TGCCGTTTCTAAATTGGAAGGTGCCAATGAGGGATAGATGCTGAAAGATAGGTCCCATTCTGGACATGCCATTGAAATCCCAAAAACCAAGGGAGCTCAATGGAAAAAAGACATCACGAGATCTGGTGGGGCGCCTTTTCCAGAGGAATTCTTCTTTGGTGCTTTCATTGCCGTTTTTTGTCCACAGGACCAGCTCTTTGATGCATTGGTGCGGCGCTCAGAGCCGAAACTCGGAGGAGACGACCTTGGTGAGCTCCTTGAAACCAAGAATGAGCTCCGTCAATGGTTTGGAAAACGCTGATGTGTAGGAAAACGTTCCTTGTCCTGTTGGTTGAGGGTCTTAGTCATTTGCTTTGGACTTCTGTGCCTTGGAAGGGTTGGTACCTTCAACCCTTCGGTGACCATCCCATGATGGGCAGTCTTCTCAACAGGAAAGCAGGTGTTGTTTTGAGGATGTGATCAGTGTGAACCCAGACTGCAAAGCGTTGCAAGTGATGTCGTTTGCCCGTTGCAAGTCAACCAAGTGAAACCATCTCGGATGTGTTGACGAAATCTGTGTTCTCTACCAAGAATAACAAACCAGGGGATGACCATCACAGTAGCACAGATCAAGCCCCACGCGCATGGTCGCCACTCGCAAAGGGTTCCGGTTCGGAGGGCTCGGCGGGCAATCGCCAGCAATCATGTTAGCACTAGGGCGACTTCAGACAAATTGTTGAAACAGCCCGACTTCAAAAGCTCCTAAACCACGTGTGTGTGTGTGATACAACCACTGAGTCCTAGTGACCAAAGATCAGCAAGACCTGGACATCACCTGGGCATCTCTCATCAAAACCTCCCAACACATTCAATCACCTCTTATAGCATTGAAAAATGCTGCATCGAGGCCAATGGCCAGACGGAAGTGGCCTGGTCCGACTTCCGGGCGCTCTTCGCCCAGCTGGAGCCGCACCTGTCGGTCGGGGCTCAGAGAGACCGGGCGGGTCCGCCCGGACCGGGGACCGTCCCGGAACGGAAGTCTGGCGAACGAAGGAGACTCGTTCGGTCTAGACGTTGCAGACAGGGGTGGCATGAAGATGTGGCGAGAAGTCAGATGTGCTGCTTTGCCTTGGCTTTGCCTTGGCTTTTGGAAAGGGTTTGGGGTGATTCTGCTGGCTCATTTGCAAGCAGGCAGCTCTTGCAAAGAAGCGTTTGCCTGGAGATCTCGCGTTCTTAGGCAGAGCAGCTGGAGGAGTTGTGGCGTCACTTCGACAAGAACAACGTCCGCCAACCCAGAGCGCATAAAAAGAATACACGAGCCAAGCGAAGAGAATAGAAGCTTTGGATTAGCTGTCAAATGTTTCAAGGATGTTGGCTCCATACAGAGAAATCCATCATGACATACGTCCAACTTGTCCATCTTCACCTCTGTCTTTTCACCAGACGTTCCAAAGCTGCTTCACTTGGCCACTGTTTTGACTCCTTTGTGGCCCTGATGAGTTGGTCAGTCGTCTAAGGATGGCGGGGTCTCTCGGGAGGAGTTCCGGCGAGCACTGGGCGCGGTGAGCACCGCTGCCGAAGATGTGGCGCAGGACACCATTCCCACGAGGGGACCATGTCCTGCTGATCGTTGAACATGCTTTGTGTGTAGTGGTTCTTGGAGTATCTGCTATTTCAGTGGTTTTTGCCAGGGATCTCTAGCTGAAAAACCGCTAAGATGCTATGTCGAATGTTTTTGGAACTAAAACGTATGGCCGGTTGCGAAAGGGCAATGAATGATGTTGTGGAGAGTATCCTCCCCCTTTCAACCACTATATGACTGGAAGATTGATCTCAGTCCTTTTCCCGTCGCTCCTTTCCTTTCGGGTTGCTACGAAAAACAGTTCCAGTGGCACTGGAATCGTTCCGTTCGTGGGTCGCTTCCATCGCATCGCGACTCTCGCATGCGACTCTCCCGTTCCATGCGGTTCCATGGGACGTGGGCGGTTCCACACGGGCGAAACCCAACCCGCCAAGAGGACGCCACCGGCCAGGACGTGTGTTCCCGAGTCATGGCCGCTTTGGCCCGCGAAGGGAAGCCGAAGTCTCAGACTCTCCGAGTGAAGGACGAGAAACGGAACGAGGAAAAAAGCAAAGCTTTACGAGCTTCCTGTTACTAGTAGCGATGCCAGGAGCGCCCCTAGTAGCGTCCTAGTAGCAAAAAGAGAAGCAAAATAAATGAAGTTCTGAAGCCAATTCAGAATTTTGAAGTTCACCAAGCTATGTGCTGTCGCCACGGTGCCTCCATGGCAAAATTTCTCAATCTGTCTTGGGTCCAACCAAGAGAGAGAGAGAGAGAGAAGGAAAAAATCAAAACATGTTCCATGATGTTCCATGGCTTTGACGGGGGACGGGAGGTTTTCCCGAAAGACCTTCACCGAGGTCGGTCTCGGAGCTCTTCGATGCACTGTCAGCCTCCAGGCAGCTTGCAACACACTTGCAAAACCCCGTGGTCGAATCGGGCAAGCCACTTCGGTCTCCGGAACTGGGGACGGTTCGGTCTCCGACGGCAGGAGCACGGTGCAGTGGAAGGACTTCGTGGATTTCTTTCAGGCCTTGGAGCTCGGAGGCCCAGGATGTCCACGAAAGCATCTTCTTTTTGAGCCGGCTCCCGGCATCTACTAGGAGCAATGAAGCTACTAGGGGCTCCTGGCATCGCTACTAGGAACAAGGACGCTACTAGGAGCAAAGGGCATCGCCACGAACGGAGCAAGTAAGGGAGTAATTACCGCAAGTTTCTAGTAACTGGAGCCAAGTAACTAGCTCTCGCTAACAGAATGGATTGGGACAAGGGAAGTTTGTGGAGTTTTGAGATGATTATGATTTGGCGTGAAATTGCATTTTGGACTTCTGGTTGCCAGTCCCCACCTTTTGAAACAGACATGCAGGGATCATAGTAGAAGACAGCGTATCTTTTCCTTGGCAGTAGCTTGGGACGCGTAAAGTGGCGATAGCAGAACATAATCCAGTTTAGCTTTCCCTGGTTGGCACATATTTTGGTTTGCTAGACGCAGTGCATCAATTTGTGCACCTGTTCGTTTGCACATCGGTTGGTGACCCTTTTTCCTGGCTACCCTGGGAAGTCTTGAGGGACCTGCGAAGTTTCACCATGTTCATGGAACTGTGTCCAACAACCCTCCTTGACAACTGGGAAAATTCTTCGAGGCCAAAGCTGACTCGTCCACAGCTGGAGATGCTTTGGAGAACCTTTGACAAGGCCGGGCTGCAGATTTGCACGTATGCAATATAATACACCCTTCTCATTCTCCATGACACAAATGCAACAAACATACACAGAAACTGGTTTGAAAAGAGGAGACTCCAGCAAAGACGGGTCTTGACGGTCTTTATATTTGTTGAGGGAGGAGATGGGAAGAGTAAAAAGCGCACTTTGAAGACGGAAGAATACAGCCGCTAAGACCACGAAGACCACTGTTTCAGAGTTGAATTCTTCCCACGCCACCCCCGAGACGAGTCGCAGGAACTGACCCAGACACAGTTGAGTCCTGATCGTAGCCTCGCTTCAACTTCGCATGGTCGCAGGACGGTGATGGCAGTGTCACCAGGGAGGAGTTCCAGCGAGCCTTGCAATCTGGGTGTGGCTCTCGGAGGAGTGGTCAGTAACAAGAAGCTAGTAGTAACAGGTGCCACGCTAGTAGTAACAAGTGCCTTACTAGTAGTAACAAGAAGCTAGTAGTAACAGGTGCCACGCTAGTAGTAACAAGTGCCTTACTAGTAGTAACA